GCCTCCCAAGTAGCTGGGATTACAGGCGCCCGCCACAACGCCTGGCTATTTTTTGGTTGCAGCCGTCATTGTTGTTTGGTGGGCCCAGGCTGGATTCAAACTCGCCAACTCAGGTATATGTGGTTGGCATCTTAGCCACTTTAGCCACAGGTGCTGAGCCTCAATGAAGATTTTAAAGTATAGTAAAAAATACAAATCTTTCTAAAAATTGCTAAGAACATACAGAATCCTTGAACTATGCTTATGGAAGTGAAAATAAAATCTTCATTACCTGAATTCACTTCTAGATAACTGATGTGCAGACTGCAGTAAAAACTGAATGAAGTTTTCTAGTTGGGGAAGAGATGTCCTCATGGCAGGGTTCTCAAACCATTTTTCAGGTAGACATGCTGCTATCTAGTAATCAAAACACATAGGTGTTTTATAATAACGACAGTTACCTAAGCATTCTTGCTAACATAATCTCATAGTGATATCACAAGTTGAGCATTATTCTCCCTATTTTACAGTTTATAGTTACATAAAAATTAAAATAAATTTCCTTTATCAAAGGTTATGTACATTTAAAAAAACCCATTCTTTAATGATAAGAACTTAAAATAGACTACGATCTGTGAACATTCCTTGTTATGTGTTTGTAAATTTTTTCTATATACTCATATATTCTTGAGCTATTAAGTCTGTACAAAACATAATTTATAACAAAAACCCAGTAATGCCTAATTACAAGACAGTTTTAGTCAACACAACTATAAAATACAGGGTGTCCCAAATGTCGACATACATAGGGAAAAATGGGAAACTGTAGGTAAATGTACATTTACAAAATATTCATTACAAAATTTTATAAAATATTGACAAAATATTTGCTACATGTTGGCCACTTCTCTGTAAAGATTTAGAATGAATACGTTGTAAATAAAGGTACATTTAGCTATAATTTCCCATTTTCCCTATGAATGGTGACCTTTAAGATACCCTGTACATTATTTTTCCAGAAAGAAAATAGGTATATTTGATCTATATAAAAAAATTAAGAGTTAAGAAATCAAATGGGTGATTTTACTAAGATACACTAAATGAAAGATAAATTAATTATGGTTTCAGTTCCCTACTAATTTAATACAGTGTTTTAAATACCTATTGCAGCAAAATAAGCCAATGTAGGTGCACTCAATTTTGGGAAGAAAAAAATATCTTTATCATAATCATCCTAAGAATACAAAATTTTGGGAAAAGTTTTGGTAGCAGAAAACTGTTAGAAATTTTTTTCCAAAACTCCAAAACTTCCTTGTAGCAGAAAGAAGGAAAAAAATAAAAAGAGAGAGCAAGGCAAAAAGGAAGGAAAAATCTGATACCACACTATTCAAAGAAATTTCTAAATTTTCAAATAGGTCATAGTTGGTAATGTCAGAATCAACAGTCACAAAAAGTTGGGGAAAAACATTAAAATGCACCAGTAAAAGACCTGGAAAATAAATCTGATTGGTCAGCATTAAAAACATGGTTGGGAATATTTTATTCGTTAATCATTTTTGTCAATTATTCAGAAAATATAGAGACACACTGCCTCGGGCAGAAGGTCCTACAGGTTTGTTACATAAACTCTATCTCTTTTTAAACATTTTAAAATGAGCCCCAACTGCTTTAGAATTTAATGGCATTTGTACTTGCTTTCTCCTTGTTTTGTATTATAAGTTTCAATAAAATTCTCATTTAACCAAGCATTTGTCCCATAATGGTCCTGGGACTTAATATCCTATTTTCTTGCCCGATTTTTTAACCATACATTGTGGAAAGAATGTTGTGTAAGTAAATATATTTCTTCTTTGCTACTTCACAGTAAACAATTATGGTCAGTAGGGACAGTTTAATAACATAGGGATAATGATTTAAAGTTTTGAACTACAATGTTTAAAACTGCATGATATAAAAACTACAGCCAGAAAAATCATGGCTAAGAACTGATAAATTTTCATGTGTTTTTTTAAAAAAAATATATTATAAAAGATATTATTTTCCTATGTTCTTAAAAATTCTTCAACAAAGGCTGGGCACAATGGCTCATGCCTGAAATCCTAGCACTCTGGGAGGTGGATGGACTGCTTGAGCTCAGGAGTTCGAGACCAGCCCAAGCAAAATGGAGACCCCCCTATCTCTACTAAAAATAGAAAAAAAAGGTGGGTTCTGTGGTGGGCATCTCTAGTCCCAGCTACTTAGGAGGCTGAGGCAAGACGACTGTTAAGCCCCACAGTTTGAGGTTGCTGTGAGTTATGATGCCATGGCACTCTACTCAGAGTTACAGAGTAAAATTCTGTCTCGGAAAAAAAAAAGAAAAAAGAAAAAAAGTGTTCAACAACATAACTTTTATCTTATGAATAGACTATAATGCTTTTTGGGAGATATTTAGGTGGTTTCTAACCCTCTTCTATTATAAATAATGCTATAAAAATATTCTTTGTACTTAACATTTTTATGTGCATATTTGATTTTTGACTTAGGATAAATTTCCATAGAAAATTTAGTTTGGCTAAGTCAAAAGGTATAAACTTTAAGTTTCGTCACCATCACATTAAAATATTCTCCTGAAGAGCTTCAGTATTCCTCCTTTCACAGTGCAGGAGACTACCTTCCAGAACCACCACATTGTCACTCTAGGTGAAGGGTGCCCTGGGAATGATGGGACAGTTGTTTCCCATTGGTGCTTATGACAACATTGGGAATTATAATTAAAACACCAGCAAGAAAATATCTTTCGACATAAATGGTAAAATAACTATCTTTCTCATATAATAATTTGCATTTATGATTATTAGTATTATTATTTACACATATTTAAAGGTTATTTTTACTTATCCTTAAAAAAATTTTTTTTTGAGGCAGAGTCTTGCTCTGTTGTCTGGGCTGGTGTGCAATAGCATCATTCTATTTCAAAGCAACCTCAGATTCCTGGGCTCAAGTCATCCTCTGACTTCAGCCTGTAGAGTAGCTGGGACTATAAGCACATGCCACCATGCCTACCTAATTTTTTCTATTTTTGATAGAGGAGAAGTCTTGTCATATTGCTCAGGCTGGTCTGGAACTCCTGCCCTCATGTAATCATTCTGGCTTCCAAAGTGCTAGAATTCCAAGTGTGAGCCACCATACCCGGCTTACTTAACCTTTTTTGGTGACTTGACTATTGCCATGTGTTTTGGACATTTTTAATAAGAATGTTTGAGTTGTAAAAAGATTTTTTATTTAATGTGGGTATTAAACAACAGTAAGATTAATAACAGTAAACAACAGATAAACAACAGTAAGATTAATATAGTGAACCTAATGAATATATCCCCTAGTTTTAATAAGGATCAATTAACCTTTTTAATCCACTGAAATTTCACAGGTTTGTCAAATCTATTACTTTTTAACATCATTGTCTTCTTTTGCCTTCAAGGTTAGCAAAGACTTCCTAATTCTCACATCCAGTCATTTTTCATCTTAGTATATCCGATGGTTTTTTCCCATTTAATTTTTTATTTCACTTGAAATTTATTTTGGTATGAAGAGAGCAATGGAGATGTCACACTTTTTTTTTTTAAACAGACAGTTGTTCCATTATCATTTATTAATTAATTTTTCCTTTCCCCATGGTGATATTTCAAAGCAGCATGCTGTTTCTAACAGACGAGCTGTTCTACGTTTCTAGTTTGTTAAGCTGATTTGTCTGTTCTTCTGTAAGGACCACAATCATCATTATTCTGCTACAAAATAGATTTTAATAGCTGAATTTTAAAAAATGATAAAATTAGAATTCATTTCCACGTAACTTACTTGGTTACACTTTTTCACAACATCTGGCCCAGGGACAGCATTATGCAGAGCTACAATAAGGTAACGGTTCAGCAGCTTCCCTAGTCCAAGCTCTCGCAAGGTGTCATCTGGGACGAGTCCATTCCAGACAAGAATGTTACTGAACAGCTGAAATAAAATATCAATAAATATATACTTTTTCTTGAAAGAGAAACCGTTTTAGTCTTTAAGAAACATAAAGAGTTGGTCACACTTTCAAACTCTCACTACAGTTAGCCCTGTTGAAACTGTCAGTTTTAGAATAAAACATCTCTGAATAAATACCTGACCCTTTCTGACCTCCATGTATTTGCTCAACTTATTTTCATTTCACTCCCAAATCTGTATCAAATAACTTCACTGGATCCTTTCCAGATCCTCTTTCCCCAATCCAGTCTCTTCTAGAGCCTGGGTATGTGAAGTATAAGACCATAGGACCCCAGGATTCACAGAGGACTGCCATCAAAGCCAGTGCCACTGTTACCCACATGTGACCTTTAGAAGCCAATCAATGCTCAAGAACTTCACTGCTCTGATGTATAAACTGAAATTCTATGAGTCTGAAGGTATCTTGGATAAAGCACTCGTGATAAATTCTAAAAAGATGAATGGTGGTTGACTACATCTAGATCTTTCTATGAATTTTATGGCATTTCCTACTTTCTTTTCAGTACTGACTTTATTACTGAGTGCTGAACTACATGCTGTTTTACTAACATGTAAAGCTTTTTAAAGCCTTATGTCACTGCTGATGTTGCTCCATCTTCCTAGAAAGCTCTTTCCTTGATTCAACCACATGACAAATATTAATTCACCCTACTGCAACTATTTTACTGGGGTTTTTCATGTCCTTCTAATAGTTAAATCTAATAAACAGTCTTTTTCCTCATTCTCTCTTTTGGAATTTAACACTTCTCTTCATTCTTAAAAATCTTTCATTTAACTTCCTTGAGGCCACTCTCTTACGACCATTATAAGACTCACAATTTATTCTGAAGTTTCTTTGAAGTCTCCACTTTCTCTGCCATCTTTTCTGTCAGTGTTATCCTAGCCGCCTTCTCGTGCTTCATTCAATTCTTTCAGAGCTGGTCTTGCATTACCATGGCTCCAAATGCCGCCTACACTGACTCCCAAGTCTCCAGATTTGTCTCCTGAAATTCAGACTCATATATCCAGCTACCTCTTAGTCCTCTGCTCTATGTCTCCCTCAGATATCTTTATCCCACTTCCAAGGTATCTGCAACACACTATTTCCAAAAACAGATCATCCCTCTGAGATCTTTTCTTCTTCCTGAATTCCTTACACTATCTAAGAATGTCATAAGCTACCATGTTGTCAGAAACTTAGCCATGGCCCTACATGCTTCACATGTAATTAATTAGTTTCTGAATCCTTTCCATGTTTCAACCTAAACATCATTTAAACTCATTTTCTCCTTACTGTCCCTACAGTAACTGACCTAGCAATAACTTTATCTTTTAGAGCAAAGGTTAGACAACAATGGCGGGTGTGTTAAATTCAGCTTGCTGCCTGTTTTTATAAGATTCCATGAGCTAAGAATGGCTTTGACATTTTGATTATTTTAAAATCATTAAAACAACAATAAAATATCTTGTGATGTGAAAACTACATGACATTCAAATTTCAATGTCTCCATAAGTAAAGTTTAATTGAAACACAGCCATGTTCATCTGTTTACCTATATTCAATGCCTGCTTTTGTGCTGTAGTGGTGGAGTCAGGTAGATCAACAAAGACTATTTGACCCTGAAATACTTACTATTTGATCCTTATAGAAGAATTTTGCTGTTGTTTGTTCTATAGTAAATAGGATTTTAAAAAAATAATGTGAATTTTAATTTTTGGAGCTTTTGCTTACCTTTAGACCTGACCAGAATTGTCTTTCTTGGAACTTTGAATGTGATGATGTTTTGTTTTCTATAGCACTGATTTGAACAAAAGAAGAAAATATAAAGAAATGTTACTCTTTCAGAACAGATTTTTTTTTTTAACCAACTAAACCAAGCCCCAGTGGAACATAAATAAAGGTGCTCTGATGATTACAAATGCATGCATGCTCTGATGAAGCAATCCCATGTCTGAGAATGCTTCTTGTAGTTGCACATGTACAGAATGAAATGTCTATAATATTATTTACATCACTGCTGATAATATTTTGCTGCTCACATGCCCATGATGATACACTGTACACCTTAAGAAAGAATGAGGAAACTACTGAAAAGATCTCAAAGATGTACTAAGTGAAAAAGAGGACATAACCAGCTGCAATTGCTTACATTATATTTCCTTTGCTGTAGAAAAGAGGAAATAAGATTATGGCATATCTAAGTATTTACTTTTATTTGCATGAAGAAATTAAAGAAAGATACAAAAATTACTATTATTGTAAGCACCTATGTGTATGAATCTGAGTGGATGGAGGTCAGGGATGGGAGTGAGAAAACTTTTCATTTTAAATATAAATAAATAAATACACAAAGTACACTCTTACTTTTGAATGATGTGAATGTATTACTTATCTAAAACACTGCAAAACAAACTTTACCAGGGTAGAATTTTTACATCCAAGATTTGTAATAAATCAGAAAGCACTGAGGTTCCCATTTTCCCCCTCAAAGCTCTTCCAGCCCGGGAGTACTTACTGGATTGCTACAATTCATGAATCAATATTAATGTCAACAGATGCCTTCTTAGTATATGTATGGCCATACAGCAAATACTTCTTGTTTTATGATTTAAAGTGAATACAGTATTTACAGTAGTCATTTCTGGTCCTTCAGTGATACTCCAGACCTCATGCTGTGTTTCCTCTGAGCTAGCTACTGTTTCATTCTGAGCACTCTCGACCCCCTCTAATGTCTTGAGAGGTAGGCACTAACATTATCCTCATTTTATAGAGGCACAGAAAGGCGAAGGTCAAGTATCTACTATTGGTGGGCCTGGGCTCTACAACCTGTGCTCCTTACCACTCTACATCAGCTCTCATGTTCCTAGGATACATTAAAAACAAACAACAGAAACTAGGTCCAAGTGCCAAGCATAGTATGCGACAGATTAGGTGACTAAGAAATATCTGTTGAAATCTTAATTTGCATCTTGCAAAATAGAATATATGTATGCACCTTTTGAAAATAGTATAGTAAGCATTACATTCTTAAATATGTATTCTATGATTAGTATTTCAAACAATCTAGAAATTAACAGCTCTTACCTCTTTGGATAAAGAGGAATAAAAACATCATCTTCTATTGCTTTCTTCATTCTTGAAACAATGGATTTAAGTAAGTCCTATCATTTAAAAATTTTAAAAGTATCAGTGATAGTCATAGGTAGAAATATATTTACCAAAAAAAGTAATTTTAATAGTAGTGCAACTCAGTATAAACTCTCAGAAACTTGAGAGTTTAAAGCTGTTAAAATAACTATCAACGGAGTGGGAGAGAGCCTTATTCATCCATGTTGTATATGGCTATAACTGGATCATTTTCCTTGATGTATATAGTATTTTGTTGCATGAATAGTTTAGGGGCTATTACAGATAATGCTGGTATAAAAGTTCTTATGTATGTCTTAGTATGCATGGGCATATACTTCTAATGGGTGTACGCATAGAATGGAATTGCTAGAATATAGCTCATGTCCATATGTCAACTACATACAAAATACCCAACTGTTTTCTAGAATAAGAATACAACAAGCTGTGCAAAAGAAATCCTGTTTCCCAGCATACTTAATCAAAACATGGTTTTTTTGTTTTTTAATGTTTGCAAATCTTGTGGATAAGCATTATATCTCATTCTGTCATTTCAGTTTTCATTTCCTTGTTGAGTAATCTGATGTTGGGCATCTTCTCATATTATTTGCCATTTGGCAAGTCCTTTCCAGAAGCAAAGTACCTAATTAATTTTTGTCTATGTTTCTATTTTTTTAAATTAGGTTATACCTTTTCATTGATCTGTAGAAGCCTTTCATATACTCTAGCTATGGGATCTTGGGTTTGGTTTGTCTGTGTCCTTTGATGTAGCAAATTTACTTTGTCAAATTCATTTTTTTTATATATCAAAAATCACAAATAGCCAGGCACAGTGGCTGACACCTGTAATCCTAGCACTTAAGGAGGCCAAAGCGGGTAGACTGCTTGAGCTCAGGAGTTTCAGACCTGCCTAAGTGAGACCTTGTCTCTAAAAACTGCTGGGTGTTGTGGCTTTGCTTTGTTAAGTGTTCAGAATCTACTTCTTTAGCAATTTTCTTTGAATATTAACAAGAATCAAAATTATTCTCACCAGGCATTAATTTAAAGAATGCATTTAATTTTTACTTTGAAAATAAAAATTATGCTGTGTGATTCCATTTTTCAGGAACTGTTCTCATTCTCTTCCGCTACTGGAAAAACTACGTATACATGTATGTATATACTTTAGTTAATAATCGTTACCATTCTTGTTATACTGTTCAAAAATATCAAGATATAATCTTTCATCTCATTATTATAAAGAGGAAAAATGGCCAATCTTTACTTCTATAAATCAAAAGTAAATATATTTCCATAAATAGTTTCTTTTTTTTTTTTTTGTGGTTTTTGGCCGGGGGCTGAGTTTGAACCTGCCACCTCTAGCATATGGGGCTGGCGCCCTACTCCTTTGAGCCACAGGTGCTGCCCCCAGAAATAGTTTTTTGATCATTATTTCTTCATCTTCTATAAGCAAAGATTTATAACAAAATTATATTAACTTACAAATAAATCAAGGAATCTATAATTTTAGAAATTATTACCTGTTTGCTTTTATTAACTTCATTTTCATAAGGGGAAAATTCTTCAAGAATCATTTTGCAGTGTGTTATTAAACTTGTTGTCTGTGAGGTTGACAAGGGATCCCAAATGAATTCTATAAAGTCTGAAACAAATATTTCAGTGGTACACTATTTACTAGACTGTTTTGCTTCTCAGATACAAGTAACTAATGCCTTTGGCAAAGTTACGTCTTCTCTCTTCATTCAGTTTAAAATCCATGACCAATCATTAATTATTTGCATATATTCTCAATTTCCTTGTCCTCCGGGCTTTACTAAACTCATCTGGCTAAATTACAATCCTAGTTAAATTAATTTTGTCACCAAGTTCAAGTGCAATTATGCAGATAAAATGCGGCTGGAAAAGCACCACACTGATCACCATGAGACTCCAGGTGAGCCCTTAATGCTGCCCAGCAGTCCTACTTTCTTTCCCTGGTCCTTTCACTTTCTTGCTCGCCTATGTGATTATTTTATACCTCCTCTTTCCTCCTTGCTCTCACTCTCAGTTGATGAATTTTATATTTCTAGATCACAATTTCTTACTTTCTTTTTTCTTCTTCCTTGCTTAATTTGATGAGAAAATAGCAGCGTTCAGAAGAGAAACTCCACAAGCTCCTACTACAGCATCTGCACACTTCCCTGCCTCTGTGCTCTACTCCTACGGATGAAGCAACCATATTCCCAGTTAAAGTCGACCCTTTACTTGTGCATGAGCTCCCAACCCCTTTGGCTTACTCAAGGGTTGTGCTTGTAGAATTCTGTCCTTGCACTTTGGTACTGTCATTCCTTCTCCTGGATCTTTCCCATCAGCCTACAATTATTTCTCTTGTATTAAAAAAATCCCCCTCTTAACCATACTTCTCCCTCCAGTGCTGCACCATTTCTCTCCTACCATTTACAAGTAAATTTATCAAAATATTGCCTAAACTCCAATTTTTCTCTTCCCATTTGTTCTTGAATTCCCTTCAATTAGGCCTTACCTCTCACCTTTCTTTCTAACTGGATGATATGCACAGTGCCAATCTCCAATGGCTGATTCTAATCCCCACCAACTGTTGATGATTCTTTCTTTCTAGGAACACTTTCTTTACTTGGCTTGCAGGATACCACACTCCTGGTTGCCAGCCTACCTCTCTCATCTTCTTTGCTGGCTGCATGTCACCTCTTTACTCCTAAATGCTCCATTACCTAAGGATTCAGGTTACTGACTTCTTTTCTTCTATTTATATGCACTCACTTAGTATTCAAAGTCAGTTTTATGGCTTTAAGTGCCATCAATATGATGATAAATTCCAAATTTATAACTCTGGTTGGACCTCCCCTTTGAGACTTATGTACTCATTTTGACACTTCCCCCTAATTACAGACATCTCAAACTCATTGTGTCCCAAACTCAGCCCCTGATACACCCCCCACCCTAAGCTTATTCCTCTCAGTCTTTTTCATTTCAGTAAATGACAACTCTGTCCTTCTAGTTGCTCAGGCCCAAACCCATGGAATTGTTATTGATCCTTCTCTTTCTCTCTTGTCCTGAAACCAATCCATCAGCAAATTCTGTTGGTGCCACCTCTGAAATACATGCAGAATTCAACTGATATAGAAACCCAGTCAGTATTGATTTCTCATAAAGCAACTTATTTGTGGAATTATTTAATGATAAGTATTTGGATTTTTTTTTTTTTTTCCTGAGACAGGGTTCTGCTCTGTCAGCCAGGCTGGAGTGAAGTGGTGTGGCAGGAAATTAGCTCACTGCAGCCTCTAACACTTGGCCTCATGTGGTCTTTCCACATCAGCCTTCTAGTAGTAATACTATAGGTGTGTGCCACCATCCCTGGCTAATTTTTAGGTAAATTTTTGGAGAGCTGGTTTCTTGCCCAGGCTGGTACACAAGTGATCCTTCTCCATTGGCCTCCCAAGGTGCCAGGGGCCGCCCAAGTGTCAGCCATAGGACCCAGTCAGTATATGCATTTTTCTGAAGAGTACTTAAATAAGGCACATGTACTCTAACACCAATAGAACTTGTTAAAAGTAATAACTTTTAGCCAGGTGTGGTGGCTCACGCCTATAATTCTAGCACTCACCTTCTAGAGGCCAAGGTGGGTGGATTGCCTTAGTGTATGGGTTCAAGACCAGCCTGAGCAAGAGCAAGACCCCATCTCTACTAAAAATAGAAAACTTAGGTGGGTGTTGTGGCTGGGGCCTGTATTCCCAGCTGCTCAGGAGGCTAAGGCAGGAGGATAGTTTGAACTCAGGAGTTTAAGATTGGTGTGCGCTAGGCTGACACCAAAGCATTCTAGCCTAGAGCAGCAGAGTGAGACTGTCTCAAAAAAAGAAAAAAAATCTTTGAAGTTCATGTACTTTGTCTTTTAAAAGAGTTCTATAGTCTTTGCTGTCAAAATTCTTTCTCAGTGACATTCTTTCTCAGATCCTACTATGTATTAAGTATAATTTCAAGTAAAACGAGACTTCAGATTAGTCTGAAGCACAAGCATTAATGTTCAGTGCTTACAATTGCTAGCAGTAGATGTCAGGGAAATGCAAAAGGATTTTTGTTGTTGTTGTTTAAGGAGAAGAAATAAAGAGAAGAAACAATGAGAGACATTAAGGGAAAGAAAGGTACATGTAGTATGGATTGAAGGATGCTATTAGCAAGTGACTAAAGTGTCACCAATGCAGCAGTAATGTCACAAGTATAAAGACTTAGAATATAAGCAGTGTGGCAGCCAACCAGTTGTACAAACAAGCATTTTTTTAACCAGCTTAAATTTGACAACTGTTGATTTTTACTGCATGTTTCATTTCCTGTTTCAAAAACTTGTGTAAAAAAATGTGTATGAATGTAACAGAAATTAATGACCTTATACTCTGTCCAAAAATGTTATAATTTTTATCAAGATTATGAAGCAGTACCTGTGAGTCGGGGGATAATTGTTTTGTTGATGACAGCAGACAAGATTTTTTTATCTGAACTATATTCCTTCTTTGAATCTTCCACACCTCCATTAATAAATTCTTCTATAGATGTGAACCATGGCATCTGTTTTAAACCTATGGAATCTAACTTAAAAAGGAAATAATAAAAGTCAGAAATAAATTAACCATTAGTGTATTTTAAAATAGTTGTTAATTTTTTCAATAATCACCACAGCTTTTCTAAGGAATGAAGGAGATTAACTCTAACACTGTACACATAGTATAGCACTCCACCACTAAGGCTGGGCAAGATGATGTAACTAAGACGTGTGGGCAATATAACAAAAAGCTGCATTTCATGTATTCATTTGTATAACAAACGCTCTACAATTGCCTACTGTTTGCCAGAACCTTGAGAGCCTACCACATGGCAAGAACTCTGCTAGGAGCAAAATAAACATTCTTACACGCTTGAAAGAACCATGAAATTTATTATGAAAATTTATTCAGTTCAAGAGATGTTTACTTATGGCCCTTTCAATTCTCATGAGCATAAATGTGTCATCTGTAGGTGGTTTAGCAAAAGGTCCTACCACTCAGTAGGCAGTTGCTGAGTTCACATCTCTTAATTTAGGATCTGAACATCAGTGTAACCACTAACTTCTGAATCAGTATTTTTTCCTTTATACGATACAAAACACCTTTCCCTTTCTATTTGTGTTATTTTTATATACCCTTCAAAGCCTCACTTAAATCCCCCCTCCTCAATGCAACCTTGACTAATTCTTCCTAATATGTCACCTCCAAATTTAGAACTCTTAGAATAAGGCTTCTATATCTAAGTTCCTCAAACTCAATATTACCTTACACATTTTGAGGGGATTTCAAACTTCATATAGAAGAGCCTAAAAAATTGTATTTACTGATGTTTACAGCCTTAAAAAAAAAAGTGAAAAGCAAAGAAAAAAGAATGTAGCTTAGACTACACATTTCCAGACTATAGTTCCAAAGTTTTAAATTTCAGTACCAACTGTAAGTATTTAATAGCTAACCTGAAAGCAAGAGAACTGAAGTAACTAGTGTCATCAGGATAATTTTTTACATGTTAGGCATACCTTAAGAGGATTCCAATGAATCAACTGAACTCGTATTAGGGGATTTAAAAGCTTCGGTATGCATAAACTAATGAAAGCCTCGTAGTAAGAATCAGGAAACTTCTCTCGCCATTGCTGAAATTTCAACAAAATATTGGGGATATTGCAAAAATCTTCATGGACATCTTCAAAAACTTTCTTCTGATTCTGTATAATATCATCTGTAAACAAAATGAGACTCTTTATATTATGCATTTTAAGTTTGTGAACTTTTTAAGTTTGCTTCCTATTGTCACAGATGACTAATCAATTCAGCTGAAAACTTTCCTTTGGTATTAATGTGTACATTTACATTAAGAAATTATTCCTTTAGCCACAAACATAAGATCAACAATGATAAAATCTACCATTTACTCTATTTGCCAATCTATTATGAATACATTAATCTCATTGCATCATATAACTATCTTCCCTACAATATAAGTATAGCCTTCTTATTTACAAACAAAAAAGGAATTGATATCGGAGAGGTCAAGGAATTTGTCTAAGATTGCACAGAACAGACTCTTTGTCAACCCAAGTCTGCTCAACTCCAGAGCCCAGAATCTTTTAACTACACACATTTTATCTTCTCATAATGTTAAAAATGTTTTCACCATAATCTGTTTTAGATTAAAAATGATAATATAAAAAGTATGTGGTAAGGAAATGAAATTAAACTGTTCATTTGTGATAGGAAAAAACCTACAAACATGTAAAAAAACTCACAATGTTCCTTCTTCACTTTATTCCATGTTTTTCATAGGTAGAGGTAGGAAAAGTCTTAAAGGGGAAAAAAGTTTTCCATTTTTCCTGAATTTTGCCAATTGAAAATTGTACTTAAAGCAAGTATTCTTACCATTTAGATATTTCAAACCAAGACATATTGTTAATGTACTACTGACCATGGCATTTTTGGAAGTCAGTCATCTCTGCTGCAGACAGCTCATCATCACTAGATGTCCCTTCCTGATGGTTCCAATTCCCAGAAAGCACCCTTGCTTTTCTTCTTTGTGTTCTATATTTTGTAATAAATCAAAAATAAATGAAAAACAAATAGCTCTTGATGAAAATGTTTTAAATATTTTAAACAAAGAGAAAAGTAATTTCATCATTTGTTTAAAATAGCCAGAAATATATCATATTAGCACATGATTTTGTTAATTTTTTTTTCTTTTTTGAGATAGAGTCTCACTACATTGCCCTCGGTAGAGTACTGTGCATCAACACTTAAGCAACCTTAAACTCTTGGGCTTAAGGGATTCTCTTGCCTCAGCCTCCCAAGTAGCTGGGACTACAGGTGCCCGCCACAACGCTGGCTATTTTTATAGACAAGGTCTCACTCTGGCTCAGGCTGGTCTCAAACTTGTGAGCTCAGGCAATCCACCCGCCTTGGCCTCCCAGAGTGCTAGAATTACAGGTGTGAGCCATGGTGCCCGGCCTTGTTCATATTTTTTGACATTTTTATACCTTCCTTAGTTTGAACTGGTGGTTCTTTCTCTTTTTTTTTTCTGGTAAGACATTCCTATTTAGGATATTCCCATGGACTAACTAGATTCTGAAATGGAGTAACAATATAATCAGCACTGGTTTCTATTTATGAGCAATTCCTAGCCTGATAAAAATGTCATTTTACCCATTTCTTTTAACTAATCCAAATATACCAGTATGTCTTTAAAGTAGTGGAGGACTGCTTAACTAAATTTTGGTTGTATGTTATTCTTACAAATTAACAGTGTAGGTCAGGTATGGTTAATTATATCACATGGTTAATTATATTTAAGTAATAAAAAGTACTTGCTCAATGATGCTTTAAGTCTTCACTTTATATAGCTACCTTCGAGATTCAATCTCTTCTAAAATCCTTTGAGTTTTTTCATCTAAAGCAAAGTTTCCATCCGTTGATGTCTCCTCTTTTCCTGTTAATAAAGAAAAATGATTTTGTACTGTAAATCTTAAAAGAAAACAGTGAAATACTGGAAATAAAGGTAATATCATGGATGTGTGTATATATATGTGTGTGTGTGTGTGGGGGTGTATATATGTGTATGTATATGTAAACATATGTGCTTAAATCCCATACTTTCACCAGTTTTCACCAGAGCCAAAGGCTTGAAATATTTGCATTACCAATAGAGTAGTCATTCTTTATTTGCAAGGGTATGTCCCCAAACCCCCAGGGGATCCTGAAACTGTGGGTAATACCAAGTCTTATTTATATTTTTTCCTAAATATACTTTCTTATGATAAAGTTTAATCTATAAATTAGGTATAGTAAGATGACTAATAACAGTAATAAAATAATTATAAAAATGTATTGTAATATAAGTTATATGAATATGTGTCTCTATCTCTCTCAAAGTATCTTATTGTACTATACTCACCTACTTTGGGGCTATGCTTGACTACAGATGACTGAAACCATGGCAAGCAAAACTGTTAATGAGGGGGAATTGCTGTGTTTTATTCTCATTATTTCTTATCTAATGTCACAAGTTTTAAAATCTCTTTGCCTTTGCTTTTATTAGCTACTTGGTCATGGCCTCATCTCTTTCACTATCTTCTGATAGTACCTTAATCAAAGGAAGACATCTCTGAAAATACAAAACCAGTGAAAAAATAAAAGAAAGCATCTAAATCTTACAACAGAGATGTTACAGATAAATCTAGGGTTCTGAAAACTATAAGTTTAGATCTCTAACAGAGTCTATAGATTTATCTGAACTCATCTCAAAACATTCATTAAATTGTTTTGTACATATTTTGTCTCAAATACTAGATAATTATGGTATAATGTTTATATTTTGGTCTTAGACTTAATTTAAGACATTTTAAAACACTACTTCTAAATGTTTTGAGTTTTTAAAAGTGGGTGTGTAAAGGTTAGCAGGAAAATATACAAAAACCAGTTTTTATATAGAAATAAAAATGTTTTTATTCTTCAGATAATTTAGCTTAATGAATAAATCATATTGAATATGAAAAACACTAACGTGATAACTGTTGTAAATACGTTGATTCATGTTTTAATTCATCTTGCCTGCGTTTCATAAAGGTCATTGCTTGCTTTAAAAGGAGTGCATGCATGGATGATTCTATTTCTTGGATGTTGACAATCTGAAATACATATATAAGTAACAATTTCCAGGTCATTGATAATGAAATATAAAAAATATGAAAAAGTAAATATTTATAAGATATGTAAACATACGTATATGCTCAATTCTCATAAAAAGAAACTTTTCAGTCTAACATACTCAATTATAAAACACTGTAACAGACCTAGCTGCCAAAACTATCACTATCAGAAAACAAAAAATCATCTTACTGTCCTGAATCAGCTATATGTATCTTAGATAACGAAAGCAAATGGGATGGAGTCAGGAACACAGGTAGATAGGTAAGAATGATTCTTCTTTGAGATGACAGAATAGGAAGAAAGGAAAGGTGTGCTTGTTTTCACAGGCTTAGGGGACAGGCAATAGGTGGGCACTTGTAGAATCTGGTAAAATCTGAAGAAGTAGAAAATGGAGGAAACCTAATCAGAGACAGGTAAGAAAGTTGTGATATAGAAATGAGACTAGTTGAAGTTGGAATTCTAATATTTTTTGGCAATAATTCCTTCCATTCCTGGTGGCAATCATAGCTCAGTGGGTAGGGCGCCAGACACACACACTGAAGCTGGTTAGTTTGAACCTGGTCCGGGGCAGCTACAACAATAATGACAATTGCAACAACAAAAAAATAGCTGGGCATCGTGGCGGGCACCTGTAGTCTCAGCTACTCGGGAGGCTGAGGCAAGAGAATGGCTTAAGCCCAAGAGTTTGAGGTTGCTGTGATGCCAGGGCACTCTACCAAGGGTGACAGCTTGTGACTCTGTCTCAAAACAAACCAAACAAACAACAACAACAAAAAACCAATTTCTTCCATTCCAACGATGTTCCAGAGTTGTTGCTATGGATACATCAATACATAGGCTGACAAGATTTTAACAGTATAATTCCTCAAGAATGAAGAAGAATACATCAGAAAGTACCCAGTGATACTGGAAGGTAGTCAACTTAAAACAATAACAACATCCAAATGCTTAGAAACATTTTAATTATAAATAAATAATCCAAAGAACCCGATGTAAAAACTCAGTATGCATAAAGCAAAAATAGAAACTAAAAGATTAATAAACCTGATAACACAAAAATTCAAAACATTTGAATGTTAAAAACTATCAGAAGCAAAACAGAAAACCAAAATAAACTGGAAAATTTACATCAAGTAAAGCACACACATTTTAAGCAATAAAGAATTGTTCATCCATACTGAGAAAACTAAGAAAGAAAAAGACAAAAATCCCCACTAAGAACCAAAAAGGTGGCAGGCCAAAGGAGACAAATCACAAAAAGGAAAACTACATGTAGCTAACAAAACAAAGGATTCACTTGAGATCAAAATACAAAATATAAAAACAAAACCCATTTTTTCCCTAGTAAACTAACAAAACTTGTACAATCCTTCCAGAGGAAAGTCTAGCAATATGTTTTGTAAGCTTTAAAAATATTTAGACTTAATAATTCATTTTCTTTGACTTACTTTTCTAGTAATTTTTCTTCAATGGATGAGAATTTAATAAAAAATTAAATATTAATATAAACTTTTATACAGTGTTACCTAAACACCAAAATAACTACAAAAAGTCTAAATGTTCAACATTAAGGGAATATCATAGTATGTTAAAGATGTTTAAAAAATACTAGAGAAAAGTATTTAATTCTGAGATTTAGACTTTTCTTAATTGCATGGTAAAAGGGGTTCTCTATGAGAAATTATATATCTATATGTACCTTTTCATTAAGAAAGTCAATTAAATTTTCCACATAAATTTTCATGCTTTTATAGAATTTATAATTTAGAGCTTGATCTGATGAACCCTCTAGGTGCTGGATCGTATTCTTTGCGCTCTTGACATCTTGTATATGTTTTTCATATTCCCTCAGGTGTGAGCGATGAGTTTCCTGTAGTAATGTTAGTCTAAACAAATTAAAAAAAAAGGCTTTATTTTTCAAACCTTTTTCACCTGAAGTAGTCTAATGGCAGTGTTTTCAAAGACCACCTAGAACACTGACAACCACATAAACCTGATTATTAGATGTGCTAAGCAAGGGAGAGTATCACAATAAAAGTAGTCTCAAAGGGGAAAAGTAGGAGAGGCCACAGATAGGATTTTAGGGGTTAGAGCCATTTGAAGAGTAGAAGTTAAAAAGTGTGGTTTTAGGTCAGAATTGAGCAGAATTTATAAACTAGGTAAACTGCAAGAATAATTGATGACCTTTTATATGAAATACAGGACCTTTTATATGAAATGTGGAGTTACTGCTCAACCAATGTGTGATCTTTCTTGGAATACAGGTATCTGAAGGAGCCGGTATTAAAACCATTTGAGCATGTTATGGTTTGGTACAATTCATCTATTTTGTGATTCAAAATGGCTTTTGTCAATAGAATTTGATGTTCCTTGAGGCATTTTGCTGCTGCTCTGTTGCATTTCCCTATATGCTCTCTATTAAAGTTAGACAGCGACTTTCTGTCACCTCTTGTGAATATCACATGTATCAACTGATGCTATAATACGTGAAAAACCTGGGAAATACAGTTTAATGAATGCTTATCTTTTAAAATTCAATTACCCTTCATAAAAACATGTCAATAGAGGAATAAGAAACTCCCATTATTTCTTTAAAAACTCCTAGAATGTGTCCAATATCTGACTCTGAATGAATGCTTTACAATTAGAGAATTACATATGAATTAACACTCATAGTATGTGAACTAGAATCAGACTTTATTTCTAATTCAACTCTTTCTGCTAACTTGCTATATAATTCCAACTGTTTAGCACTTGTTTAGGGTACACATCCTCTCTCCAAATTTTCCTTCACTTGGCTTTCAAAGTCTACAGAGAAAGTTAAAAAATAAATCAAGGTTGGCTCAGTGCCGGTAGCTCAGTAGTTAGGGCACCAGTCACATATACTGAGGCTGGAGGGTTTGAACCCAGCCCAGGCCTGCTAAAAGAACAATGACAACTACAACAAAAAAAGTCAGCTGGGCATTGCGGTGGGCACCTGTAGTCCCAGCTACTTGGGAGGCTGAGGCAAGAGAATTGCTTAGACCCAAGAGTTTGAGGTTGTTGTGAGCTGTTATGTCACAGTTCTCTACTGAGGTTGACATAGAGTCTGTCTCAAAAAATAAATAAATAAATAAATAAAATCAAGATAATAATGTATAGCAGTCATTATTAAAATGTTTTAATTGAGTGGAATATTATCTGCAATAGCAGTAAAGTTAGAATGTATTATGTGGAAAAAGCTAGGTACAAAACTGGGTACACAGTGCACTTCTTTTTTGTGTGTAAACATAAATACATAAATATGTATTTGCATGTGTAGACAGACCACTTCCAGAAGTAAATTTAGAAAACCAGTAGCAATGGTTTCCTCAAGGGAAGGTAACTTCCTTTTCTTTGTATTAACTTTGTACTACTTGATTTTTTTTTAAACCATAAGAGTGTATTTTCCTTTTAAAATAGAAAACAAAAACTAGTTAACCAAAAAATCAAATACAATAAAGTTAACAGTTGCCCAAATGAAATACTATATTAATCTAAGTCAGTGATCTGGTGCTTTTCTTCTATTCTATCTTTCAAGCAAGATAATCCTCTTAAATAAAATCTTATAAAACCCACCTTATAGGCTCTGGGTTATATGCACTTCTAGATGCAATAGCTGTAATTCTACCTGTCTTCTTCTAACTAAGGAAAGCATTATCAGAGTATCAGTAAATGAAAATAAAGTCATTACAGAAATAATCTTAAATCTGTTAAAGTAATCTCACTATTCAACATCACTATGGAAAACGTTGATCTAACAGGAGTTGACAAAACTTTTTTTTGGTAAAAGGCTGGACAGTAAATATTTGAGACTTTGAGGACTAGATAGCTGCTGATGGAACTACTCAGTTCTATGTTGCAGCATGAAGCCACAGACAATACACAAACATACAAGAATGGCTGTGGTCCAGTAAAACTTTATTTACCAAGGCCTGGCACAGTGGCTCATGCCTGTAATCCCAACCCTCTGGGAGGCTAAGGTGGGTAGACTGCCTAGCTCAGGAGTTTGAGACCAATCTGAGTTAGAGCGAGATCCGGTCTCTAAAAGTAGCCAGGTACTGTGGTGGGTGACTGTAGTCCCAGCTACTCAGGAGGCTGTGGCAAGAGGATCACTTGAGCCTAAGAGTTTAAGGTTGCTGTGAGCTATGATGCCACAGCACTCTTCTGAGGGTGACAAAGTGAGACTATCTCAAAAAAAAAAAAAAAAAAAAAAAAAGAAAGCCACCAAAAAAACTGTATTTACCAAAATGTTATTTATCAGAGGGTGAGCTAGTAGTTTGCTAACCATGTAGAATACAGAGATTATTTAATATCTACAAACTGGTACCTCTAAAGATTTTGAAATAGTTAACTTCTCACTATAAAATGTTACAAAATGTCCTTTCTATATCAGATTGCCATTTAAATGATTAATATATTATCGTTACAATGTAATTAAGAAATAAAGCTACTTTCAAGCTGATTCACAGAAAAGATAAAGAGGAAAAAAAATTTTGAACCTATTCTAAGGTAGCAAAAAAATACATCCCCAAAGCAATGAAAATGTTCTTTAAAAAATACCTGCTTTATGGTGGCACCTGTAGCTCAGTGGGTAGGGCGCCAGCCACTTACATCAAGGCTGGCGGGCTGGAACCCAGCCCAGGCCAGCTAAAACAACAATGATAACTGCAACAACAATAAAAATAGCTAGGCATTATAGTGGGTGCCTGTGGCCCCAGCTACTTGGGAGGCTGAGGCAAGAGAATTGCTTAAGCCCAAGAGTTTGAGGTTGCTGTGAGCTGTGATGCCATGGCCCTCTACCCAGCGTGACATAGTAAGACTCTATCTCAAAAAAAAAAAAAAAAAAAGCAAAAAAAATCCTGTTTTAGCAGAAGAATCAAACCCTTTCTTGTATGTATATCAAACTGTTATAAGGATGAATAAACTACTATTATCATATTTGTTTTTTCATACATCTAAGGATACAAAATAGATCCTGAATAGTTCAATTATAAGATAAAAACATTTAAAACTAAACAACTTATGATGGTGTTTGCTTTAGTTTTAGCAAAAATATCACATGCTAATGTTAAGAGACAAGTATTAATATTGATAGAATAAAAGGTAGCTGTGCTTTAGAATGGCAATCTGTACCAAGATCTTTGACAAGGTTAACTTTCTCTAGAAATTTACTTTAAGGGAAAAAATAACCAACACATACAAATTCAAAGATGTTCATTATCTGTAGCATTATGCATAACAGAGAAAATTTAGAAATCAAAATATCCAATAGAGAAATACTTAAGTAAATTATAATATAACAATCATATGGATAAACATGATAGTTTTTATAATTATAATGTAGAAAAATGCTATACTTATATTAAGTCATATTTACTGACTTTAATCATGTAATATACATGTTATAAATACTAGAAAAACATACAGTAGATCTCCATCATCTATAGGAAAATGTTCTAAGACTCCTAGTGAATGCCTAAATCTCTGAATAGTACTAAACTCTACATACACTGTTTTTTCCTATACATACATATCTATGATAAAGTGCAATTTATAAGTTAAGCATAGTACTCTTGCAAAAAATAAGAGTTGCCTGAACACAAGCACTGCAATACTGTGAAAGTCAATCTGATAACCAAGAAAGCTTACTAAGTGACTAACAGGTGGGGAGCCTGCAGCATGGAGATGCTATAGAAAGTGACATCTTGAGATTTTACTATACTACCCAGAACAACATGCAATGTAAAACAGATGAATTATTTCTAGAATGTTCCCTTTAATATGTTTGGACTACAGTTTGAGCATGGGTAATAGAAATCACAGAAGGTGAGAGTGTAGATAGGATAAGACAACTGTATACAAAAATAAAATCAGTTGTATTAGCAGGATAATACAGGAGATGCTATTTTTTAAATGCTATTATATTTTCCATGAAGCACCACCATTTCTCATTTCAAATGCTATTGGTTTAATGCTAACACTTAATAATTCAAAAGAACATAGTAATTTTCCACTATTAAATTCCTAGGACAAATGTAAATTTCAAAATTAATATTACTTACCTGGTATTTAACTGCTTCTTAATAATTTCTAAATTTACTGGTGGAAATGAAGTAGAAGTATCAAACTTCTTCACTGTTCGAGATCTACTGCTGTAAGAAATATCTATGTCTCTTTCCTAAAAATAATAAGAAAGTTGATTTTTAAAAAACATTTCCTTTACCTTACAAATGTTCAGAGTATAGAAGGAGACTGGATGATCCTGTCTCTTGCAGCTCAAAAATTCTGTCTTTGTGTAATTTTTCACAGTCACAATGAAATGCTTTTAAAATCTTCAGTTTTAAAATTTACAAATTTCAAATTTACATGTAAGAGGCAAATGTTAAAAATCAAATTTTTCAAAACAGTTTAGTTGGTGAGGTTTTTAAAGCTAATTTTGTTTACACCTAATGAACTCTCAGAAAGACAACATGTGTGGTAGATACAGCTGTCTGGCTAATCTGACAGCTGTTTCCATGATAGAAACAGCTATTTAACTCCAACTCCATCCTAGTTAGTGAAGAGTAAATGAAAGTCTACTGGAGGGCTTCCAGGTAAAGCTTTTACCTTTCTTTAAGCCATTGCTATTTGGGTTTTCTGTTGCTTGTAAAGAAATGCACTCCTAACTAGTACATCTCATAGCATGTTATATTTCACATTAGTGTCCTCTGACTAATCACAGCTCATTAATTCCAAATACACCCTGGAATGTTCAAAAGATCCTAAAGAACCGGTATTTTACACATGGACATATGAAGAAGTGGACAAGATATTTAACCAACTCACTGGCTTAATTATCCTTTTCATATTTTCCACGAAGCATCATCATTTCTCATTTCAAATTTTACCAAGCCTCCCATCCAGCTCCAATATTATCTACACATCCCCAAACACTCCTGACATTTTCAGTCTCAAATTCCATTCAAATATCACCAGTTCTGTACTGGCTTTTCCAAACCTCCTCATTTATCCTTCTTCTTACTGTACTGACCTCCCACTTGTCCTTTGTTCTATCTGGGGACCCTTCACAAAGTTCCATCATAAAACTTGTAGAATTTCACGGTAATTACTTTGTTTAGCTTTGTAACCTCTTCCAACAAATATTACACATCATTACAAATGCCTCTAATAGGCTACTGATGACCCTGTAAAAGACATGTTCATGTTCATATAAATATTACTGTATCTGGCAAAAGATGTATTTAAGTTAAATTAAAGATTTAAATAGGAAGACTTTATCCTGGATTATCCAGCTAAGGCTGATGTGAAGATGGAACAAAGAGAAACATGTCCACAAGCCAAGGCATGCCAACAACCACCAGAAGCTAGACAAGTCAAGGAATAGATAGATTCTGTTCTAGGGTTTCTGGGTGGAGTGTAGCTCTACTAACACTTTTTTGTTTTTGGACTTCTGGTCTCTGGGAGTTAAGAAGATTCTATCATTTTGAGTCACTAAGTTTGTGGTAATTTGTTATCGTAGCTATAGGAAATTAATACTATGGTATGGTAAATCTTCAATAAAGCAACTAATAAAAACACTATGTTAGAAATAAAAGACACAAATCACTTAAGTGTGGGAGTCTGTTTTTGCCAACTAAACTTTTGGCGAGACTGTAGTGAAACATTCCCCATAATATTGGTGCATTATAGATTGAGCCATGTTTCTTTCACATCAACAGAGAAATGTACTAAGTGCTATAAAAAAGTTCATCTTCTTTGATTAGAAATACCACTCTTAGCAATTACTACAAGAGAATTGTCTGAGAACATACACCTACAAAAAGAAAAAAAAGGAAGGAAGGAGAAAAAGATAATTAAATATTCACTCATTCTTACACAAATAACCCAAATGTTTGGAATTAGGAATGGTTAATAAAATTATGATTCACTGACTCCCATGAATAACATGCAGCTATTAAAGTTAATATCATAACTATGTATAAACAGCAAACGATATTTATAACATGCCAAGCAAAGCAATCAGAATTCAACATTGTATGCAATGAGAGTGGCCGTGTTCAATCAGATTCCAAGGTTAAGATGCCCAACATCGGGTGGCGCCTGTGGCTCAAAAGGGTAGCAGCCCTGGCCAAAAACAGCAATAAAAAAATAAATAAATAAATAAAATAAAATAAAAATAAATAAAATGGAGCTAGGTTAAAAAAAAAAAAAAGATGCCCAACATCTGCATTTACGTCATCAGTAAGAAATTCTGGTTATTTAAAAACAAAAAAATTTTCTTCAATTTATCTGTATTATTTTTTCAAAATGGTACTAATTTAAGATTTAAATCTTATTAAATCTTTGGATTTACTTTTCCAAAGTATTTTTTTAAATGCTGTTTTTACTTTTAGTAAAAAAGAGAGAAAAAAACCTAAGCCTGCTGCAGTTCTAAAAACAGTCTTCTAAATCATTTTTATCTGAGACTCCAAAATTACAACTACAAGCTTATCTTTACTTAGCTTTTTAGTTTTAATAACACGGAAACCTTACAATACTTGCTTACTTAAAAGAACAAATAATCTCAGAGGATTTTGTTTTGTTTTGTTTTGAGAAGACAGGATCTCACTCTGTTGCACTAGCTGAAATACAGTGGTGACCATAGCTCATTGCAACTTTAACTCCTGGGGTGAAGTGGTCCTTTCTGCCTTAGACTCCTAAGTAGCTAGGCTTATAGGTGTGTAGCACAATGCGTAGGTAGTTTTAAAGTTTTCTGTAGAGATGGGGGCTCACTATGTTGCCCAGGCTGGTCTTGAACTCCTGACCTCAAGAGGTCTTCCTGCCTTAGCCTCACAAAGCGCTGAGACTATTGACATGAGAAAGTGTGCCCAAGCTTCTCAGAGCACTCTTATTAAAAAGATTCAAATATAAAACCTGCTATTTCGATAGTATTGTATAGGTTTTAAGCACATTGACTTATATCATTATAATTTCAAGCCTTATATCCATATATTCAGGTATGTAACATTATCATCATTCCCATTTTCTTGATAAGAACACTGAGAGAGAAATTTAATGAGTTTTTCAAAGCTGTAAAAATATTTATTGAGCATTCATAACATTAGAAACTGTTGATATCCAACACTCAACAAAATAGTTAATTTTTTCTTTTTTTTTTGAGACAGAGTCTCAAGCTGTCACCCTGGGGTAGAGTGCCGTGGTGTCACAGTTCATGCCTCAGCCTCCTAAATAGCTGGGACTATAGGCACCTGCCACAACGCCTGGCCATTTTTTTTGTTGCAGTTGTTATTGTTGTTCTAGCTGGCCCAGGCCGGGCTTGAACCCGCCAGCTTTGGTATGCACCCTATCCACTGAGCTATGGGAGCCACTGACAGTTAATAATTCTTGATTTCATGAAGCTTATAGTCTAGCAGCAGACCCAGAACCCATATCCTTGGAACAGTACATATTTTGTTTGTTTTAAACCTTACTATTTGTTTAATTTTTACTTTTAAATATCTGCTCTGTATAATATAAAACTGTCAGTTATTATGAAAGTAAAGAATATAAAAATGGTGCTATCAAGTGGAACGCATTTATACTAGTTAAAAAAAGAACATTATATGCATGGTGTAATGGGTTGAATGGTGGCCTACCAAAAGATATACCCATGAGTTAACCCCTGGACTATGTGACTTTGACCTTATTTGGAGAAAGAGACTTTGTGGTTGCAATTAAGGGAAGGATCTTAAAATGAGATCATCTTGGACTACCTGAGTGGGCCCGAAATCCAATGACAAGGTCTTTATGAGAAACACACACAACAGAGAAACAGAGAAGACAGACTGTAAAGAAAAGGGTAGACTCCTACATGGGGCTACCCAACAAGAAACTGTAAGAATTCTGGAAGAAGTGGGAAAACTAGACACTGGCCTAGCCAAAGAATTCATGAAAAGTAATCATAGCCATAACAAAAATAAAAAATGGGAATTGATCAAATTAAAAAGCTTCTGCACAGTCATGGAAACAATCATTAGACTGAACAGACAATCTACAGAATATTAAAAATTATTTGCATGCTATACATCTGATAACGTGCTAATAACCAGAATATACAAAGAACTCAAGCAAATCAGCAAGAAAAAACAACCCCCTTAAAAAGTGGGCAAAAGATATGAACAGAATCTTTTCAAAAAAACATAGACTAATGGCAAATAAACACATGAAAAAATGTTCAACATCTCTGTCATTAGGGAAATGCAAATCAAAACCACAAAGAGATTATCATTTAACTCTAGTTGAGAATGGCTTTTATCAAAAAGTCCAAACAACAAATGCTGGCATGGATATGGAGAGACAGGAATACTTACACACTTTTGGTAGGACTGCAAAGTAATCTCTGTGAAAAGTAATATGGACATTACTCAAAGAAATAAAAGTAGACTTACCATTTGATCCTGCAATCCCACTACTGGGTATTTACCCAAAGGGGAATAAGATACTTCATAAGAAAAGGCACCTGCACTCAAATGTTTATAGCAGCACAATTCACAATTGCATAGACGTGGAAACAACCCACTGCCCATCAAGATAGGCTTGGCTGGGTGCCTGAAGCACAGTGGTTACGGCGCCAGCCACATACACAAAGGGTGGTGGGTTTGAACCCGGCCAGGCCAGGCCAGCTATCAACTATAACCAAAAAAATAGCCAGGTATTGTGGCAGGCACCTATAGTCCCATCTACTTGGGAGGCTGAGGCAAGAGAATCTCTTAAGCTCAAAAGTTGGAAGTGGCTGTGAGCTGTGACGCCATAGCACTCTACTGAGGGTGACATAGTGAGACTCTCTTCCTCTCAAAAAAAAAAAAATACATGAGTAGATTAACAAAATATAGTATATGTATACCATGGAGTACTACTTGGTTGTTAAAAAAATAGATGAACTACCTTTTTTTAACAATATGAATGGAACTGAGACCATTCTTCTAAGTGAATAATTACAAGAATGAAGAAACAGGCAAAAATAGCTGGGCTTTGTGTCAGGTGCCTGTAGTCCCAGCTACTTGGGAGGCTGAGGCAAGAAAATTACTTGAGCCCAATAGTTTGAGGTTGCTATGAGCTGTGATGCCATAGCATTCTACTGAGGGTGACAAAGTGAGACTCTGTCTCATAAAAAAAAAAATGGAATAAAAAACCAAATACCTCATTTATTGAATATTGAAACTAATACTCATGTGCACAAATGGAAATAACACTTATCAAACTCAAATAGGTGGGTGAGGCGATTACTAAATTCACATCTAACATGTATAATGTATACTGTCTGGGTAACAGGAACACTTTATAATTTGACTCAAATGACATAAACAATTTATGTAACCAAACTTTTGTGACACTATAATATTCTAGGAAGGGGAGGAGATAGGTAGAGATAGGAGGTATGCAGTCACAAGCCAAGGAATACCTGGAGCAGCCAGAAGTTGGAAAAAGCAAGGAAAAATTCACCCCAAGGCCTTTGGAGTAAGCAAATCTCCACCAACATTTTGATTTCAGGTTTCTGGCCTTCACCAAGTTTGTGGTACCGTAATTTGTTACAGCAGCCACAGGAAATCTAACACATATACATCTGGTATAAAAAATTATTACCTCTATGATTTTAACTGCTTTCTTCATTTGTTGATGTTCCCAAATATCCTGATTTTCATCTTCCTGACTTTCTTCACTTGTTTCGTTTCTGCTTGCTATGAAAAAAAGTTCACATAAGAACATTTAATGGTTTTCCATTCCAATTGTACATAGCAGGCATATTTTTTTGGTGGGGGAGGTAATATTATGCAGGCTTACCACCACTTTACATGTTGTTTATTCTTCACAATAATTCTGAGAAGGTGGCACTGCTATTGCTCTCATTCTACAAATGAGGAAACTCATATAATGAGAGGTTAAAAAACCTAAGGACTATGTTGAAGCTGGAACTCAAATCCAGAGATCTGATTCTTATCACCAAAGAATACTATAAAACCACCTACATAAAAAACTGAGAAAGAATGAAATATTCTTGAAATATGAAAATTCTCTAAAGAGAGATCTTTATCAAAGATCTCTCAATTTCCATCTGAGAATCCAAAAACATAAAAATAATTCCTGAGTTATAAGGAGGCAAAGTCTCATTCTAAAAAATATTATTTCAAGTAACAAAAATTTTGGTAAAATACACATACTATAAATGAGAAATGTATAAACAGTCCTTTGAGACTAAAATTGTTGCTAGAGGAAATTTTTTATTATAGCAGATTTTAATATATGACCCGTAAAATCTATATAGATGCTTCCATGTTAAAATTCTTTATAAAGACGACAATGATAGTTTTCAATGTTTCAAAAATAAGATACTGCATAATATTTTTTAACCCATCAAAAAAGATCAAGTGGGGGTCAGGCATTAGTAAACACTATTACACATACTCTTTGAAAATAACATTTTGATATGTTTTTTAAAGGCCATAATATCATAGACCAAATTGAAACTACATAAAAACCAAATCAACAGCCTTTCCTGTAAGGGACATTTTATTTTTGTGGTGTTTTATCATACTATATATTTTAGTGAAAAATGCCTTAATCTTCATATATTGGTAAATAAATTAGATACATACTTGTTTCTTCAGCCATTCTTTGTTTAAGTGTTTGAGGCTTTGGGGTAAATGGCATCCTCTTCTCATGGTCATCAGGCTCACTCTCAAGATCTTCATCGCTGTTTCTCTTCACACCAGAGACGGTGAAGGTATGTTTTACATTCAAAGAAATATAGTCCTTTTGGGCCCTGGCCAATTCTCGTTTTCTACGGGCTGCCTGAATAAAAGCTGCATCAGGGATCTTACCTGAAAGCAACAAAGAGGACACTGAAAACCAAAGACCAACAGAAATCAGTAGTCCTCACCTTTAAACAAAGAAAAATGTCACCATTTCCCTCAGTTTTTCACTATTTTGATACATGCATGTGACTTCAATAAATGGCACAAAATGTACATCAGTAAAGGACAAAAATTAATATGAGATTAAATACAATTTTGAGAAATAAAACAAATATAGAAGTCCCAGAAAATATACTTATATGACTTGATTTTATCTTCTAATTCTTTTACTGATCAGGTGCTGGTCTCTGTTGAGGGCTAGGTATCTCTCACTTCTGAAAGCTCTGAGACTGGAGGGAGGTGTGTGTGTAGAGAGCTGGGTATGGAGAGCCTCAGTCAGTGAGCACTGCAGAAGTTGAGAGCATCGTGACAGACCAGTCTGACTTACCAAGTAAGAGAGACATCACACTATGATGTGCCCTCCCCTGTGCCACTTGGCCTTAGAGAGCGAGAAACAGACAGCTGATATAAAGCCAAGTCAGCTCCCAACATTCTGTGCTATGAACCACATGAATAAATACGAGAAGTTAAAAAGTATTTTTTAAAAAAAAAATCAGGTTCATTTACCAGGTGAAAAACATTTAAATGGCAGCAACTCTCAATAGAGGCTAATTTTTTCCCCTTTCATTTTGTACAGCAAAAACTCATTAATATAAACTCTTCCAATTCAAAACTAGTTTCTTCATGATCTAAGTATTTCTTTTTTTTTGAGATAGAGCCTCAAGCTATTCCCCTGGGTAGAGTGCTGTGGCATCACAGCTCACAGCAACCTCCAACTCCTGGGCTCAAGTGAGTCTTCTGTCTCAGCCTCCCAAGTAGCAAGGACCACAGGCACCCGCCACAATGCCTGGCTTTTTTTTTTTTTTTTTTTTGGTTGCAGCTGTCACTGTTGTTTTTTGGCAGGCCTGGGCTGGATTCGAACCTGCCACCTTAGGTGTATGTGGCTGCCGCCTTAGCCACTTGAGCCACAGGTGCCGAGCCGATCTAAGTATTTCTTAAAGAGGATATTACCATAAACAAATGACAAGAGAAATTTCCATCATTTCAAGTATTTCAAACTATTAAAGAGACATCTAACTACTGGGGCTCAAGTACAATTTACTAACCTTTCCCACAAACTTGCCCAAATTTTTTGAGAAATAGAAAACATGCAATATGCCTGAAGATACACAAATGCTCTAATGTTTGAAACAAATAAAAAATGAAACAGATTTTAGAAATCACAGTCTGATATATTTGGCATAAGTCCTAAGGAAAATTAAAAGTGCTTGAGTTAATCATGAAGCAATAATGATGCATCAAGAACAAGTAATATAAAATCAAGTGATTTACTTTTTGATAGGCTGGTATTTATTTATAAACTATCAGGGAAATGATAAAGGTCAGGTATCTCTTTATTCTCCCAAAGCATTTAACAGTTGGAGTCTTTCCTTGTGGCTAAGGTTAAAATATGTCAGATAACTCATGGCATTCACCAAATTCTTAACTGGTTTAATAACTACTAAAAAAATGTTGCTTATGAAGCTAAGCAGGGACCTGCCATAGAGCTCTGTATTCTGTCTTGTCTGGTTTAATGACTTACTGTGGTATCAATGAAGACAAGATAAGTTTTTAAAGCTGGGAGGTGCAGCCAATACAATCTAAAGCAGAATGAAGATTCAAAACCACCACAGCAGGTTACATATAGCAATCCTGGCTACATATTAGAATCAGCTAGGAAGCTTGATAAACAACTGATACACCAGAGACTCAGCTTCAGTTGATCTAAGGTAGAGCTGAGCAGTATTTGGTTTCATAGTCCCCTAGGGAATTTTAATGTGCAGTCAGGGCTAAAATGATACATTTCGGATCAGATAACTCAAGTGTATAAATATGGAAACTGAAATAATTTTATGGAAGTGATTCACCTGTAAATGACTTAATAGGGTTTAATTAATAAGTCACAAGCAGCGGGACTCACTAGTGAGACACCAGTGCTACATAAAGCTAATCCTCTCTCAAGGTACAATTAAAAGTAAAAGTTCAAGGAAGACGGGAGTAGTTTGTTTCTCCATAACCAGCACCTAACTCTAGGTTTCCCACACAGCAGATGCTGGGCAGACAGAGGATGAATTGATACAGTTAGCGTATTGTTTTATAATAGAAACATCATGTTTTTACAAATTTATAACTCAAACCATGTTTCCCTTACATCATCCTATTTGATACACAATCATCGAAGGTGGAGAGATCAACTGTCATTTTGTGTTAGTTAACAAAAGTCTTTGCTGCCAGTACTATTTCAAGGCAGCTATTCTATTCCTGGATCATTTTAATAGTTCTGTCATCTGAACACAAAATAAATGCACCCCTTCCACACACCAGTACTTAAAATTACCACATTCTTCTGTCTTTTCTCCTCTAGCCAATATGCCCCTTGCACTTTTAAGTGTTCAGTAAAACAAACAAACAAGCATTATCCCATACATTTCCAAATACTGCCCTCTCTCCTTTGGTGGACAGTGCTGCTAACATTGTTCTATCTGGAACAGTGGTTTTCAACCTGTGGGTCGTGACCCATAGGAACTGTATTAAAGGGCTGAGGCATTAGGAAGGTTGAGAACCACTGATCTAGAATCTAGACAGGGCTTCAGACAGAGCTTCAATTTTTTTTTATTTTTAATTGAGACAGAGTCTCACTTTGTCACCCTTAGTAGAGTGCCGTGGTGTCATAGATCACAGCAATCTCAAACTCTTAGGCTCAAATGATCCTCTTGCCTCAGCCTCCTGAGTAGCTGGGGCTACAGGTGCCCACCACAATGCCTGGCTATTTCTTTAGACACAGGGTTTCACTTTCAGGCTGGTCTTGACCTCCTAAGCTCAGGCAATCCACTGGCCTTGGCCTCTCAGAGTGCTAGGATTATAGGTGTGAGCCACTGCACCTGGCCTTCCAGGCTTCAATTTTTAATATTGGCGATATTATCATTCAGTTCTTCTGTACCTTGTGAATGCAGATAAGAAAAAAATAAACACAAAGCTACAGAGCTACACTGATTATTTTTATTTAATAATACAGAAGTACTTATTACTATATTAATATTTTAAAACATATTTTAACAATTTTATTTCAGTATCATTTGTTTCCTTATAAAGCTATGCATTTTATTAATCTTTTTAGATAGGTATTAAGCCTCAATAGACTGTAAAGGAGTCCACAGCACAAAACAAATTATAAATCCTTGGAAAGGGCCTATGACTTTGCAGGTCATAGGTTTCTGCTGCAACTTCTCAACTCCGACATTACAGTGCAAAAGCAGCCACAAATACTAAGTAATTGAAAGGGTGTGACTGGTTTAATAAAACATTATTTACAAAGACAGGTGGTGGGTGAGATTTGCCAACCCCTGAACTAGACTGGCGGCCATTTGTCACCAACTCCTGAACTAGACTGTTCTCAAATAGAATAATGGTCATGTCATCTGTTTGTATACAATTTTCAGCAGTTCTCCAAGTCCTGAATAACCTGATTCCAACTTGTCTCTCCTGATTTGTTTCTTTGTCTTAAATTCCTAATCAAATACTTAACATTTCAGCCAAACAGAACTAATTTTAGTTCTCTACACATATTATATATATTCTCTTAGAGTTTTTAATATGGTACTACACACTATACTTAACACATCCTCACTGACAAATTCTTACCATCCCTCAGGTATTCATGGTAATTAGTATAGCACAGCAGTTAAGAATATAGGTTCTAAAATAGACTGCCTAGGTTTGAGTCCTAGCTTTGCCTCTTAAAATGTATCTGACTTTGGCTTGGTGCCCATAGCTCAGTGATTAGGGTGCCAGCCACATACACTGAGGCTGGTGGGTTTGAGCCTGGCCTGGGCCTGCTAAACGACAGTGACGACTGCAATCAAAAAGTAGCCAGGCCTTGTGGCTGGTGCCGGTAGTCCTAGCTACTTGGTAGGCTGAGGCAAGAGAATTGTGTAAGCCCAACAGTTAGAGGTTGCTGTGAGCTGTGATGTCAAAGCACTCTACTGAGGGTGACAAAATGAGACTCTGTCTCAAAAAAAAAAAAGGAAAAAAAAAGGTATCTGACTTTGGGCATGTTCCATAATGAAAACAAGCAGCAAATTTTGGTACTCTGACGATCATTAGTGATGATCCACTTCCCCCATACTTTAAAGTAGAGTTTGTTGTGTTATCAACAATAAGAATCACTAGTATAGAAAATACATTAGAAATAAAATGTTTAATGATTACAAATTACAAATATTATAAATATCACCAACCTGTCGATGAGAACTCATTTTCTTCTAGAGAGTCAGAGCTGTCAGACAATGAACTCTGATCATCCTTACTCTCTAAGGAATGATGCATTTCAGCCTCTTCATCTGATGAAGGATCAACTGTTCTGGATTCTAACAGGACTTTTTTTTTAACATAAAAAGAAAGAATCAAAATAATGGAATCAGTGATTGAAATTCTGAACAACACATGCCTTACCTATATATGGTATTTTAATACTACTCCACATAATTAAAATAGGTATACAGGTCTTTCTTCAACTTCCACTCTTTCTGAAACTGGATGGTTAGTAAGCATATAAAGACTTATTGTATTTGTATTATATACATATCTAATAAAATATTTCCAGAAGGATGCAACAAGGGAAGAAAATACTAGAGAAAAATTAAAGGGACAAAAATTGAAGTAATATTTAGAAAAGAAAAATGATGGCAGTGAATAAGAGTGGTAATAAGTAGAAAAAATATTTAAAATATATATGTGCTATGCACACTGAACCCTGTCTTACATGATTTAATATTCACAATTCTATACAGTAAATGGCATTTCTGGTGAGGGCACTAAGGACTGAAAAGATAAGTAACATCAACTTAGTAAGTGGAAAGGCCTTTCAACTTAATTCCATCCAACTCCAAAATTTAGGCCCTCTTTATATTAAGTCTGGGGGTAAGAACTTATAATGAGCACTTTGGTCAAAATTAAAGTGTAAGACTATCTGTTCAGCGTGTGATTTTGGGAAGGTCACTTAGTCTGTTTAGCGCAATCTATTAAACAAAGATAACATTACAACATAAAACAAGGGTGTGGTAAGAATTGAATGGCCAAAACGTAAAGAAATTCTTGACATTACTGATATGAAAAGATTTGTTAGTTCACAATAATTTGATAATCTGCATGAGTAAATTTAAGATTATATGGTATTCTTTATCTTAAATTTCACTTTAACTAGATCTTCATAGAATTCAAAAATGTCTGGAGTAAAATTAAAATTTAAAAGACTAAAGGAAGATAGTTGCAACTCACATTTTTCTTAGCTACTGCTATTTTTGACAACTCCTTTGAATTCCCAAAGTAAATTAACCTCCAAAAAGTGCTTCTCAAAATATGGCCCATCAATTCTTGGAGGTCCCTGAGGCCCTTTCAGAGAGTCTGTGAAATCAAAACTACTTTTAGCATAATACTAACATGTTAGTTGTTCTTTTAACTTTGTTGACATTTATTTAATGAAGACAAAGCATTGGTGGGTAAAACTGTTGTTACCATCAATCAAGGTAATGACACCATATTGTAGTAGCAGTTATTGTATTCTTAATCATCATGCATTGGCAAGGGAAAAAAAGCTAGTTTCAATTTTTTCACTTCATGAAGCAACACAAAATTATAAAGTTTATTAAATCTTGATCCTTGGATATGTCTCTTTAATATTCTGTATGAGAAGATGGAAGTATACACAAGGCACTTTTGTTGCATACTGAAATGCCATGGTTGTCTCAAGGAAAAGCATCTACCTGAGTTGTAAGTTGAATTAGCCATCGCATTCAAGGTGAAACATCATTTTTCACCTTGAACAAATAATTTACAAAACAATCTGGTTACTCAGACAGAGATATTTGACAAAACCTTTGCTTAAACATAGGCCAAGTTGGCCCAGCATCTATAGCTCAGTGGTTAGGGCACTGGCCACATACATTGAAGCAGGTGGGCTCAAACCTGGCCCCGGCTTGCTAAACAACAAAAAAAACTGCAAGGACAACAAAAAAAATAGCCAGGCGTTGTGGCAGGCACTTGTAGTCCCAGCTGCTTCTGAGCCTCAGGCAAGAGAATCACTTAAGCCCAAGAGTTTGAGGTTGCTATGAGCTGTGACACCCCAGCACTCTGTCAAGGGCGACATAGTGAAACTCTGTCTCAAAAAACAAAAAAACATGGGCCAAGTTGTGCCTATTACTTTAAGAATGAGAGATTTCAAGTGAAAATTGGAATTTTGGAAAACCTATATCCTCCACTGTGAACTTAACAGCTTCCCAATATTTTATTGGTGATAATATTAAGTAATTTTTGATATTGTATAATAAAATGCATAAACAATTGCAAGATCTACAAACTTAGTATACACAAACTTTCCAAATAATCAATGCATGAATTATCAGTTACACATGGGTAAAAGATCTATTCAAAGTGCCAAACAGACCATTGAATTTTAATGTAACAGAGACCTGTAGTAACATTCTATATTGCCACTAGCCTTGAAGAAACTATTATTAACTTGATAAGCTTTGTAATATTAAAGCACGACATCCTCACTGATCTAAAAAGGCTGTTAGGTACTACTCTTGCCACATGTTTGTGAGAGAGAGCCTGTCTTTTATTCAAATACTTCAACCAAATCAACACAACTCAACAGATTGCATGCAGAAGCAGTGGTGACAGTTCAGCTATCTTCTATTTATTTAAGACATTAAGGAGATTTGCAAACTGAAAACGATGCCACTCTTCTATTTTCTGGAAAATATTTTTCACAGAAATGTTATTTATCCTTACACATAATTTTTAAAAAATGAATTAATACTATATAAAGTTTTAATTTCTAGTATGGTAAGTAGTGATAGAGTACAACCTACAGAAAGAAAAGCTCTTTGGGATCCTTAATCATTTTTTTAAGAGTATAAAGTTCCAAAGACCAAAAAGTTTGAGAACCATTGCTCCAGAAGACAAAAGGCAAATTGCTGGCCTTAATTCTCCTTACTAAAGTTTAATCATATGACTGACATATTTTAGGGTACAAAAGCAAATATAAAAGGTCATAACAAAGTCTAAGACATCAGTAAGATCATGAACCTGGAGGGTATCATGTCAAGTGAAATAAGCTAGGCACAGAAAGAGAACACTGTGTGTTCTCACTTACATGTGGAACCTACAAAGTGAAAATCACAGAAGCAGGGAGCACAATGGTGTTTACAGGGGCTGGGGTGGAGGGGAGTGGTGGTTGGGGATGTATGTTGCTCAAAAGACAAATTTAAGTAGGAGGAGTAAATTCAAGAGATCTACTCTACATGACTATAGTTAATAACAATATACTTCATACTTGAAAATCTACTTAGAAATATCTGAGATAAAGCATACACGCAATTAGCCAGATTTAGCCACCCTACATATTTCACACATCGTGTTGTACAAGTACATACACTTTTCTGTCAATTAAAAACTTAAGAAAAATCACTGAGATCACTTCAATGGGGCTAAGAACAGTGATTTTGGATCTCAAGACTAACCCCAAACCATATTCCTTATTAAGCTACAATTCCGACTCACAGCAGCATATTTTTGTAAACAACATTAAGCTGCTTGAAATGTTTACTTAAAAACTTAAAGCTCCTTCAAAATAACTGCATTGTATTTAAAGTCATGACGGGTACAATCTACGGCATCATCAATCTCCGTCACACTACTTAGTGTTGCACATACTATCATTGATTTTTACAAATAATTGATGAAAAATAAAAAGAAAAAAGAATTTCCTAAAACCTGTTAGAGATTTTTAAATGTACTATTCTCATTATGTTTAATCAAAAAAGAAATTGGGCAAGCTTCCAAAATGTACATACAACTTTTGCCTACCTAACAGCACTAGGAATTATTGAACTCCTTTGTGACTAGGTTCTTCATAAAGCCAATTACTGTTACCATAGCTATAATTGGTGGTGTCATCTGATGGCGAAAACACAAAAGAGCCACCCAACTGTACAGGATTCTTTCGACTGCCCGAAGACGCCCTACAGGCAGGTGCAGGCAGCGGGCGAGGCTCGCAGGTGGGCTGCCTCGCTCACTATTTGGCGACTTAGCGCGGCTGTCAGTCAGCAGCGGGTTACAGGAACCACTAGGGAAGTGCCCAGGGACGTCGCAGTCCCTCAGTGCTAGTACCTGGGACGCCCGTGCCGCCGTCCACGCGCGGGGCCGCTACCACGGCGCGCCGGGAACTCGCCCAGACCCGGCCCCGGCCCCGGCTCCGGCCCCGAGCACCCCGGACTCCGCGCGCCTGTCCCGCCGCCTCCCTGCGGCCTCCTCCAGAGGGAGGCCCTTCCTCCGCAGATCCCGGGGCCGTCTGCCCTTTCGGCGTCTCTGGCTCAGCAGACGGCTCCTCGGCGCCGTCGCTGTCGCTGGAATCGGCTGGACGCTGCCGAAAAGTCCTTTTAGGCCTGTGAGCCATGGCCGGGGTCCGAGCGCCGCGCGCAGGACTTTGCCTCCCGCCTGCCAACCCGGGTCTTCCGCGCCTGCCCCGGCGCGCGCGCCCGCCCGCCCAGCCTTGCCGCCTTGTGCGCGCGCGCCCATTAGTCCCGCGGTCCTGGGCCGCTTAGTCGGCGCATGCGTACTTTGACTCCCGGGACCTGGTCCGCCGAGTGCAGTTCCCAGGCCGGAAGGCGGGGTTGGCATTGCCAGGCTGAAGCAGCTTGGACCTTAGCCGAAGGATTTCCACAGCCTCCCAGAGTTGAGTTCTGGACAGAGCAGCAGTCACGTGCTTTCTTTGCGCAAACCCCATCTAGGTATCAGGCGCTATGCTTTCTGTCCTGGACTGGAAACCAGATCCATTGTCTTATATTTTCAGAGAAAGCCCCTTCCAATCAAGAGTTAAAACCCCCAGGAATGGGGGGGTGGGGCGGGGTTGAGGAAAATTGAAAACTGAACAGCAAAATCAACGCATAAATGCGGACAGATAAGAAGAAATCTGCTCACAGATAAGTAAAACTCAGGTGATAAGAAGAAATCTGCTCACAGATAAGTAAAACTCAGGTGAATTGCTCCAAGGCGGCAGGATGTCCTTGATAAGAAGTAGCAATCTCTTTGGAAATATTTCTTGCAGTTGCAAGTTGTCTCCTGACTGACAGGAGAACTGATTTTCACTTTCTTATTATAATAATTGCAAAGACAATTCATTCAATCCAGAAAAATAAGTGACTTAGAACTTTGTATCACAAGGAATTATATGTAACATATGAGGTCTGACAAGTTAACAAACTTGCCACAGTGCGGCTTACCTTGGCAACGCTCTACAAACAGCTCTGTAAGGTTTCATAACCTTGGTGTGTCTGTCTTATAGCTGTGTTCGTGATTTGCTGAGTGGAGTCATTATTGTTGCTGTGTTTTTGTGTGCCATCCCCAAAATATGGGAGTTTGAATGAGAGCAACAAACAAATTTTCTTGTTAAACTTGGCAAGAGTGAAGTGGGATCCGGGTCACGTTAGCCCAAGCTGATGGGAATAATGCCATGAAGAAATGGTATTGTATAAATGAAGTAAACATTTTTTCTGAGGGGAGAGAAAGCATCACTGATGAAGATAGGCCAGGCAAAAACTAATAAAAAATATTGCAAATATTTGTCGAATTGTGCAGTCAAAATCATTGGCTAACTGTGAGAAGCATAGCAGACCAAGGAAATATGCATAGAGAAATCGGAAAATCTTAACTGAAAATCTTGTTGTGAAAAAGCTGTCCAAGAAAATGGCTCTGAAAGAATTCACCAATGACTGACTAAAAGCAATGAGCTCACACCACACTCTCTGTGATAGAGTTTTTAGCCAGTGAACAAATAACTGTATTGGATCACTCTCCCACCTCACCTGCTCTGGCCTCCAGTGACTTTTTCTTTACTCAAAAATAAAGGAAATATTCAAAGAAAGACATTTTGATGACATTCAGGACATCAAGGGTAATATGAGGATAATTCTGATGGCCATTCCAAAATTGCTTCAAACAGTGAACTAGGCACTGGCCTCGGTGCATAGGTCCCAAGGGGAGTACTTTGAAGGTGACTGCAGTGATTCAATAAGGTATGTAGCACTTTTTCTAGGATGAGTTTGCATTGATATTATACAACTTTACCAATTGATTAATAAAAGGTACATTAGGTACATTTCAATGAGTGATATAATTTTTATTTAAAATGTCCCAATGTATGCAGTGTGCTAGAAATTTCATTCTTTGCAACTGTTAAAACTTATGATGAAAACTTAGGTCTACCTAAAATTAGGAGTGATGAATTTTTAAAATTCTTAGAAGAGTGTGCACGCAAAAGGGTATGAAACTACCCTACTGATTCTGAGTGCTTTAGTTGCTCAAAAGACAGAAGAAAAAAATTCTTTCTTGGAAAGTCTGATAGGGATTATATTTTAAAAAGCAATCAGAAGAGAGTCATAGATAAAATGAGCATTGAAATATGTTTTGGTGGTATAAGCCACTAAGCCAATTCTCTAGAAATTTCTCCCCCATCAGGTTTCTATAGCCATGTGTATCTGGGATAAAGCCAGTAGGATCAGAATAGACACCTGAACCATGGTAGATAGGTAGATCCTTTCTCCAGAATATTAGCTCTGAGAATGAGGCCACAGTTTATTTCCTGCATTTACCACGACCATAGCCTGTGAATATCTAAACTCCCTTTAAGTAATGAACTGGGGTCTCCTGTGGACTCTGGAGACCTGGTTGCAAAATGTTCAGAAATTGTGTTCAGAAGTCAGTTGTTAAACACAGTCATTATTAAAAATTTAAGTATGTAAGTTTGCAACTTAAAGTATATTGTGAGTAAAGGTAATAACTACTGAAAACTTGCTACTTCCTGACTTTCACAACCTTTTACTGTTATCTAGGCTGCTTAGGTTTAAGACGAATATTTCTGTATGGCAGAATTTTATATAATGTTCAGCTAAAAGTACACCTATTACCAACTCCATGCTTAGTGATGTCATGTTAGAGGCTTAAAATCATCCCTATTAGGATACTTATGCCACAGAAATTCGAAGACCTTATGAATCAGGGCTTTTCTTTCACAGAGCCAGATACTAAACATTTACCATCACTGACTCTATTTCAGCTGTGGGATATAGAAAGGGCAGAGTATCCCTGATGGATGTGGTCTCAGAACTCTTTTTTCATGGCCTTCCTCCATGAACTATTACTTCCAAGAATAAACTTGGAGAATCTTATAATAAAATAATATCATTTTTCATAATTTAATAATAACTTGCTATAAAGAGAAACTTCTCTTTTTAAATCTTAGTAAAATAAGAGCACCGCCTAACAGCATTTTTATTTGGATATTAGCAAATGGTATGAAAAAGATATTTTCAGAGAATAAAGATACTTGTGAAATCTGAAAGCACAGCTTTCTACCATGGGCCAAATGCTCCTAGTAACTAGAATAAACTCTAAAGACTAGAGGCAGGGGGGTGGGCTCCACTTGATACAGTGCTTTTCTCTATACCATCTTTCCAGGCAGAATTCCCAAGTCCTGCCATGGATACTGCACTGTTCTCCCATAACAGAGGAGAGTGTCTTTCTAAATCACACCACCAAGTGGTTAATGCAAAACCAAACAGTAGCCTATGTTTTTAAAATGGTGAGGAGAATGAAGAAGATGGTAATGACTTGAGATTAGAGGGAAATCTAGTGTTTTCTTATGTACTGTTAAAGAAACATACTAATCTGTTACCCAATTTGGTCACCATTATGCACCTACTAGTACAGGCACCATGCTAGGCCCTAGACACATGCTCCTCAAATCCGGCATTCTCCAGAGCACCTACGAGTTGTGTGGACCTGCAGATGCTGATTGAGCAGCTCTGTGACAGTCTTCATTTCTAGCATGGTGATGCCAAGGATCCTGGTCTGAGGACCACACTTTAAATAGCAAGGTCCTAGAGCAGATACTAAGAAATGTTAATCATCCTTAAGAAGGTTTTTAAAAAGTTTTGAATTACTGGCTCAGCACCTGTAGCTCAGCGGCTAGGGTGCCAGCCATATAAACTACAACTAGCAGGTTCGAACACAGCCCAGGCCTGCCAAACAATGACAATTACAACCAAAAAAAAAAAAAAAAAAAGTGGGCCTTGTGGCAGGTGCCTGTAGTCCCAGCTACTTGGGAGGCTTAGGCAAGAGAGTCACTTAAGCCCAAGCATTTGAGGTTTGCTGTGAGCTATGACACCTTGGCACTCTACCAAGGGTGACATAGTGAGACTGTCAAAAAAAAAAAAAAAGAAGAAGTTTAGAATTACTAAATCACTGATGAACTTCACATCAGAGTATACTAGCATGTAAAATGCTATTATATACCTCAAAATTTGAAAACTATTCCTAAGAGGGAAAACTAATAACAACTCTATTCATAGTGAAGAGGTTGTCTAAGTATGGAAGTTATTCATCAAAAGGGACATCAGTCTGCACCTCCTCAAGAGGGGTTCTCCACCAGCCTCCAAAATCACTTTCTAGTTGTCTATCTCAGTTTGAAAGATGGTCAGCAGGACAGAATTTACTGCCAGTGTTGCTCAAAAGTCAGCAATTTATTTAAAGATAATCTAAGTGTAATGTTGGTGTTTTACATCAAAGTCACCAACCCACAATCCATGTTCAACTGAAATATGAAAACACAGGCAGAGTTCAGTGTTTTCCCCTGATTTCAGAACCATCAGCTCAGATGGACGAGTTGCTTACATTCTCCTTTTGGAAGGCACCACCTCCCTTGACAGGGCCTTCTCTTACACATTTTGATGTTCCATAACTAGTGTAGTGTCTAGTGTACAATTAACATGCATGCAACAAACTCAATGGGCAGATGAGGCCATTCTAAGCCACCTGCCTTCCATCATGGTAATGAAACCAGAAAACAAATCACTTTATTTAACTTGCTGTATACAAACATGTAAGAGGCAGGAGATACACTATTGAGAAGGAAAGGGAAAAACTCTAAAATGTCAACCAAATATTTGTTTCAAAGGGGAGAAGAAACAAACATTGAGTTTTTTTTGGGAATTGCCTGGATGGGAGAGGAGAAAATGACAAGAATTTGTTTAATCAAAGGGGAGGAATCTTGAGTTGTCTCCTCTGTCCCCAGAAAGCAGCGTCAAGGCTCTGGGATAAAGTCGACAGATTTAGAAAGAATATTGGATGCCCAGGAAAATCTGAATTTCAGATAAACAAGGAGTATAGATATATACACGTGTGTATAAATATATATGTATAAATATGTTTTATACATTATTTGGGATGTACTTGAGGGGGGCATTTTAGAACCCTGGTCTTGGGTAAAGAAATGAGAAGAATTTCAAAGGGTGGAGGGCAGGGATGGTGGTCATGGTTCTGGAACTGGAGATGAAATGACTATTGACAAGAAGTTCCCAATTATTGGGGGGGCGCGAGAGGGGCCTTTAAGCTTTGGTGCTGTTTTCTCCCAGACCTTTAGTAAA